GGTAACCCGAAGAGGTAATGTCAGGAGAGTATGGAGGGTAAGGCAGAACTTCCCAATCCAATTCTGTTCTTGTTCTGAGTCATTCTTGCATTGTCATGTTGCAGAATAACCCCTTTTCTGTTGATCTGTGCTAGACGTTTTTCAATGAGAACCTGGTTTAAACGGTCCAATTGTTGACACTAAAAGTCTGCAGTTGTAGCTTTGTTCGGTTTCAACAACTCAAAATGAATTATCTCGACTCTGTTCCACCAAAGGGACAACAAGACTATCTGGTTTGTCTGTCGGAATTGGGTTCAGGTCAGGACTAAGCCACCGATTCTTGCACTTGGTGTTGACATAAAGAATCAATTTCTCATCTCCTGTAACAATCTGATGAAGAAATGGTTCTTTCTCATGCCTGGTTATCAAGGAATTGCAAATGTTTATGAGCTGGACTTTGTTGTCATCTGAAAATTTGTGTGGAAACGAAACTCTTTGTTTATTGACGTTCCCAATTTCTTTCAGATGTTCTTGAACGCTCGACCAAGAAGAAATAAGTTTTTCTGATAATTGTTGGATGGTCTGACGGGCATCTGTCTCAACCTCTGTCCTCAGGAGGTTACTGTCCAACTCTACTGGTCTTCCTGAACGATGGCAGTCTGAGAGATCAAAATCACCTGACTTTAATTTTCTGAACCACCACTGGCATTTACGGACACTCAAAACATCTTTATAAACCCTACAAATGTTTTTGGTTGCCTCCGCTGCCTTGTTACCTTTATGAAACTCGTAGAACATGCAATGTTGAATGTGATTATCGTTAGGAATGTGGTCAGTCGTTTTTCCTGATTAGAAGAAAACTATTTTTGTTAACAGAAAATTGATATTCAAGAAGGGTTCTTTTACTTGCTAAATCAAATTCACCTGAAAAGAAACGAAAGCACATAATTAGAAAGGTTTCAATTTAAGGTAACAAAAACGACATTACTTTTCCGTAACCCTAATCATTCGTGTTTCACCCTGTACTTAAGCTTTTTAAAGGAACACCACGTTTCTGTAAAAAAGCCAACTTCAAGGGGTGATGATAACACCATTTACACTAGAATTGTGATTTTTTAAATTTACAACTAGTTATTAATAATACTTATAAAGGCGGATACTCGGTTTGAAACTATGTCACCTCAGTGAAATTGGTTAACACCATTGTTTTGTTTTTTGAGTTATCATGTAATAAAAAAGAAGCAGAAGAAAAAACAAGAAATTCAAACTTTTTGCTATTTTTTATATTTACAGACATTCCCAGAACTTGTGACTCAGTCATTACATAGCTATTGTTATAAAAGGAAACACTATATAGTATTGTAAAGTTCTGATGACCTATTGAAGAGATATTTAAAATATAATTTCGATAAAGAATCCAAGCCATCCCTACATAGGCAGTGCTGCCACCTGCCTGATATTTTCAGCGACGCACTGTTCACAGTTGAACTGTAAGGAAGATATCGTGTTTTTCAATGTAGTAATCTCTTAAAAACCTCCACACGTTCTCACGAAGTTTGTTGTTTGTTTGTAGTTAAACATAAAGCTACATCATAGGCTGTGTGTACTGTGCCAAGCCCGGGTATGGAAACCATAATTTTAGGGTTAAAAGTCCGCAGACATACCAATGAGTCACTGGGTGCGGGGTTACAAAGTCCAAGTTTATTTCATATAGTTAAAAAGTAAAGTTTTAAACAACTTTTGAAAAGTTATATTCAGTATGAGAGACGTATTTTTCTTATACGCTAATAAGAGTTAATAATATATGTTTTAGTTGATCAAAATTATAATCCTAGGACCAAAAAAAAAACACAGAGAAAATAACTGATAGGTTATTATCTTTCAACGTTTTATTTTTCATATTCTTAACTAGCATTGTGAAATACAATTTCAATAAAATGTTGCAAACACGAGATGAACAAATCCCTGAAAATATTTTACAAAACACGTAAACACACTTCTCAAACTGGATAATAACTGGTGTTTACGTCACAAGTCTCTACAAGCAGTTTGTTTGTTCTATATTTAGAAGATTTTTACCACATTCACACCTACACAACCTCGCCAAGTCGCCTAGACGCCCACTATGTACGTTAAGATGGTATTCACGATACTCCAATCACATTGGCCTTTTTTTTTATAATAATATCATCCTTTTTTTTGCTTCTTCGGGATTAGAAAGACCTTCTTCAAACTTTCTAGTGTAACAGATATTTACCAAAGTTCAGTCAGTTTATTTTTAGTTTTCTTACGCCCACAGATGATGTGATTTTGGGTTGATAATTTCGTCCAAGAAGAAAAATATGTGTCAGAAAATATAATCAAGTTATTTTGACAAAACCTAGACAGTAGAACCGTCATCCTCCTGTGGCACTGAAGGGTTACTCACAAAGTAGGGATATCAACGTTTGTTTCAATGTCCTACTTTTTATTAGAAATCCGTTCTTATTATTTTGTCATGCTAATAACTTAATAGCTTTTTATAGTAATAATTTTATAACATAATTCTAAGTACCGATATATATATATATATAGAACATATCAAAATGAAAATTGTTTGGTTTAGAGCAAAGCCACATTGGGTTATCTGCTGTGTTCGCCGCGGGGAATCAAACCCCGGATTTTTAGTAGTGTAAGTCCGTAAACTCACCGCTGTCCCACTGGGGCCGGAAATAGAAGTGGAATAAGGAAAAAAATAAATAAACAAGTTATTGGGACCGATAAATAATTTGCAGTCATTGTCGTCACATTTTGACTTCAGCCCAGAATAGGTCGGCGTACAGTTTTGCCCCAAAATGAGTAGGATACATCAATACAAAACAACTAGAATTATTTTAATTGTTCAGGTTTTCATGATAACAATGACACTTCATAATTTATATTGTTTTAAGTTGAAATGTATACCTAAGCTTTGTTTGTTTGTTGAATTTCGTGCAAAGCAACTCGAGGGTAAACAAAAAAGTGGGATTGACCGTCAGATTATAATGTCTCCACAGTTGAAAGGGCAAGTATTTTCGGTGACGGAATTCAAACACCTAAGATTCACAGTTTTTCAACGAAACAGAAAAACAACAACAACGATATTTTCTTGATGTATTATGGGTAACAACTTATGAGCAAAATTTATGATTGGAAATTAAATTATTTTTTTTTCTTACAATTTCAGTTTAAAAGAATATTTTTTATATTAAAAATGAGAACCATCTATAAAATAACTTTTCAGGCCGAAGAAGGCTTAGGTAATTGTGCCGAAAGCTTGTGCATTAAAAAAAACGAAAAAAAAACAAAACGTGGTGATATTCCAAATAAATTACCTAATACAAATATAAACTAAACTATTAATTATTTTATAGTTACTTTTTGAGTTTACTTACTGATTAAGCGTATTTTATTAAAATATACAGCTTTTACTTGAGAATGATCGCACCAGTGATCGAAATGTCGTACCTGTTCTATTTGTTTGTAATTAAGCACAAAGCTGCACAATGGCCACTGGGGAGAGGGAGGGCGTGTACCTGTTCTAAAAAATAAATATTTACTATTTTGTTAAATATCATTTGATTTGAATTATTTCATAAATTCGGATTTCTACTCACTAAAATAAAAATTATTAATAATATTGCATGCTAAAATATCATTAATAGCAAATATCAATTCGAAAACAATTCAGTGAAGTACCTGCCTTTTTGTGAGTTTCTATTGTTCTCCGACAGGCTTAGTGAGTTGATCACATGACGTTCTTTGTAGTCGACAATCAGCAGGGAACACAAAAGTCTTCCTTCTTCGATGAATCTGTAATGCGTTACGATAGCCGCTGTCACACGCACAAGAGGACTCGAACACAATCTTGTGTCGTGTTCAGCAACTACTGTAAACACCTGTACGGCATGCTCCCGTTTTCTATAAATATTACCAGATGTCACCACCCAGTTAATAGTCCATCACTGTCAAGTTCTGGAACTTTGAAAAGTCTACGTCTGCTTTCTCTGTACTACACAGACAAGTAATAGTACAACGCAAAATGTACGAATTTTGGGAAATTTAGTCTTCTGTTTTTCCATAACGTTTTGTAACTTTTTTGTGTGTAAATATTTGTTATAAGACAAAGGTCTTATATATTTGCGATATAAATTTATAATGAGCATTTGTACGTCTATTAGGACGCTTGACCATACCTAGCCTGTAAGAGAGATAGTTTCTTTATCAGCTAACGAGTCAGGTGAATATGAGAACGCCAACTTAACCAACAGAATCAACGCTTATATATACTTACTATCGATGTGAAGGATTTTCATATGTTATTCAAATAAAACAGAAAACTGCAATAAATTAATCAGTACATGTAAAAACAAGAAATATATTTTAAAAAACCTTCTTAGTTTAGCTTTAGTAAAAAAAAACAATAAAACTATAACACTGATAGCAGATCAGGCTTAACCTAGTGGTTAGTGCTGGGCTGTGTATAGGGGAGTCCAAGGTTCGAGCCACTACATGCTGCTGAAAATACCTCCACATTTTCAGCGTTATAAAAGACCCACTATCCAGTTAAGAAAATCCATGTAAGTGGCGGATATTGTTGACAGTTCTAAAACTAGTGGCTGTTTTGCCAAAAATTTGGAGTTTCTGGCGTTTAGTCCATGTGTCTCACGTTTAGTTTGAAAATACCAAGTATGGAGAGCATAAGGTTCAAATTCGTAATCATAGCTCGATATCCATCAGATAACTAAAACTACGCACAATACTGAGAACTGGGTTATATTAGAAATATTTTCATACCAGTTCATATATATATATATATATATATATATATATATATATACGACAGACGTACTACGTACGTTACGGTAACCTAACCGTAACGTTAACGTTTAACGTAAAACTAAAACTTAACGTTTAACTTTTTACTTTAAGTT